ACGTCCTCCACAACTAGACTGAAGAACAAAAGGACAGCAACTTGTCTGTTCCCCTTCCCCCAATTCCCCAGCTCTGTTCCCATCCCCCCAATTCCCCAATAAAAATCTTTAAAAAAAAACACCAAAACAAAAAACAAATTTCTAACCTCAAATTTTCTCCTTTGTCTACTGTTTTCCTTTTCATTGTTTTTTGCTTTACTTTTTGGGAGACGTTTTCCATTTGACTCCTACCTTTCTCTTACCATGTGTTTAATGATCATAAACACCGTCTTATTCTCTATCTTCTTAAACTCTTTCTGGACAAAACATTTGTTTTTGTCATTGGACGTATTAGTCATAGTATTTTTGAAGTTTTCTTTTACTCTGCATTGCCTTCTTTGTTTCTAGTCTGCGTTTTGACTTCTAATTTTACACATTCTCAAATGTCTGGAGATGATTAGCCATCTGCTTACATTTCCAAGTGGAGCACTAAAAGCTGATTGGGAAATGTTCGTACCTGAGTAGAGCTAGTCCTTTGGTGGGTGGCAGTATTGGGTGATCAGTTAAAAAGGAGCCAGCTGTTTCCTTGGGAGCACCTTATATCAATATCTGTAGACACTAAAGAATGGCAACAACTATGTATAGTGCCAGGTGGGTACTACATGAATCGGGGGGATCACTGTATAATAATTTATGTCTAACCACTATGCTGTACATCTGAAACTAATATAAAATAATACTGAATGTCAACTGTAACTGAAAAAAATAGTTTAAAAAACAAGGATGAATGTGTTTTTCATCCTTGAGACCATAAATATGCTGAAAAGAACTAAAATGTTTTACAGTAATTTTTTTTTTTTAATTTTATTGGGGAATTGGGGGAGGGGAACAGCATTGAGGAATCAGGGAAGGGGAACAGACAAGTTGTCCTTTTGTTCTTCAGTGTAGTTGTGGAGGACGTCGCTTCAATGACTGGCCCATGTTGGTATTATCATTGTACTCTTCCCGGCTGAGGCAGATCGGTCGCTGGCCACTGCACTACCACTCACGGCGGCTCTTGGCAGCTCATGCCAGCTGCCGGCTGCTCACGGTAGCTCACGGCAGCCCACTGCAGCAGAGGCTGCAGCCTACGCCGTCACCAGTGACTCACAGCAGCCCAGCTCCAGGTCGAGCTGTTGTTCAGCATCTTAGCTGTAGAGGGCGCAGCGTCACTGGCCCATGTGGGATCCGAACCAGAGGCCCTGCTGCTCAGGGCTGGCGTCGCAAGCCAGCTCTTAACCAACGTATCACCCAGCCAGCCCCCTACAGTAATTTTTAAAAAGTGAGAACAACAAAAATGCTATTCAGAAAGCATAATTGTAAAAGAACCAAATAGAACTTATAGAAATCATTCCATTTTCTAGAGAGGAACGCTACATCTGATTTCTGTTCCTGGCTGCCAGCTCTTCTGGAAACCCAGCAGAGGAAAGGAGATAAGAGTATCACATTGTTCAGTTTGCTGACTTTATGTTTTTATTGTGGTAAAATATACATAACAAAATTTACCATCTTACGCATTTTTTTTTTTAAAGATTTTATTGGGGAAGGGGAACAGCCAAGTTGTTGTCCTTCAGTCTTAGTTGTGGAGGGCGCATCCCACCATCCCATGACGGAGTCGAACCAGAAACCTTGTTGCTAAGAGCGCACACTCTTAACGACTGAGCCATCCGGCTGCCCGTTGGCAGCTTGGGGCAGCTCAGTGCAAGGTGCCATGTTCAATCTTAGTTGCGGGGGGGGGTGGCATAGCCCACCATCCCGTGCGGGAGTCAAACCAGCAGCCTTGTTGTTAGGAGCACTTACTCTCACCAGCTCAGGCAGCTCAGCAGCAGCTCAGCTCGGGTGCAGCTCAGGCCCTTGTGGGAATCGAACTGGTGGGACCCTGATTTCAGAGCTCGCGCTCTTAACTAATGGAGCCACTCGGCCGGCCCCATCGTACATATTTTTAAGTGTACATTTCAGTAATGTTAAGTACATTCACATTGTTGTGCAACCAATCTCCAAAACTCTTCATCTTGCAAAACTAAAACTCTATACCCATTAAAAAATAACTCTCCATTCCACTTTTCCCATCACATGGGGTCATACAGTATTTGTCCTTTTGTGACTGGCTTATTTCGTTTAGCATACTGTCCTCAGGGTTCATCCATGTAGCGTGTGTGTCAATTTTCTGTTTAAGACTGAATAATATTTCGTTATATAAATACACCACATTTTGTTTATTCTTTGTTGACAGTTTGTTTCCATGTTTCCACTATAGTGAATAATGGTGCTATGAACATGGGTATGCAAATATCTCTTTGAGACTCTGCTTTCAGTACTTTTCAGTATATACTCAAAAGTGGAACTGCTGCATTATATGGTAATTCTATATTTAATTTTTTGAGGGACCCCCCATAGTAACTGCACCACTTTATGTTCCCTCAGAGTACACAGGAGTTCCATTTTCTTCACATCCTCCCAACGCTTGTTATTTTCTGGTTTTGTTGTGTTTGTGAAGTAGATTTATTTATTGTTTTACTTTTTGATAGTAGCCATCCTAATGAGTGTGAGGTGGTATCTTATTGGGGTTTTGATTGGTATTTCCCTAATGATTGGTGATGTGAGCATCTTTTCATGTGGTTAGTGGCAATGTGTTTACCATCTTTGGAGAAATAGCTGTTCCTTTGTCTATTTTTTAAATTAGGTTGTTAGTTTCTTTGTTGTTGAGTAGTTCTATATATACATTCTGGATCTTAACCCCTTAATAGCCTTCCATGCTATTTAATCAGTTATCACTTGATTTGCAGGTGTTTTCTCCCATTCTCTAGATTGCTTTTTCGCTGTTGATTTTGTCCTTTGACAAAAGTGTTTTGTTTTGATACAGTCCAAATTTTTTTTTAACTTTATTGGGGAACAATGTGTTTTTCCCAGGACCAATCAGCTCCTAGTCCAGTCGCTGTTTTCAATCTATATAGTTGCAGGGGGGAGGGGGTGGGGGCAGCCCACCATCCAATGAGGGTGTTGAACCGGCAACCTTGTTGTTAAGAGCATGTGCTCTAGCCAACTGAGCCATCCAACCGGTTGCCACTCCAATTTATTTTTATACTTATTTTCTGTGCTTTTGGTATTGTATCCAAGAAATGATTGCCAAATTCAGTGTCATGAAACTTTCTTGTATACTTTCTTCTAAGTTTTGTAGCTTCAACTCTTACATTTAGGTCTTCCATCCATTTTGAGTTAATTTTTGTATATGGTGTAAGGGAAGGGTACAACTTCATTTTTTTGTATATGGATATTCAATTTTCCCAGTTATATTTTTTGCACATATTGTCTTTTCCCCCATTGAATGGTCATTAACACCCTTTTGGAAAATCACTTGACCATATATTGTATAAGGTTTTATTTCTGGGCGGTTGCTGACTTGCTCTTGACCCATCTGTTTTCAGTTTTGCCTGAGCTTGCCATCATCAATTTCTCTAGAGAACACACCTCCAGTTTTATATGGAGTTGTCTAGGGTAGTTGCAGGTTGCTCAGGGTGAGAGGAGGATCTCAGGGAATCTTAATTGCTTCTTTTCAAGACTTTCAACTTGTCTTGTTTTCATACAGCCTCTAGTTTTGATTCACAGAAATCTAATTCCCACAGGCCTTTCTGGGATTTTGTCGGTTTCTGGCCTGCTTCTTCTTGTTAGGTTTCCCATCTATATGCTTCAGATTTATCTCTTTCCAAGCTATTAAATTAGTTCTCTAGTTTCCAAACTGATGACTTGTGTGTACTATTATCCATCGATTCTTTTTGTTCTTCTGGATTTATGCCATTTGTCTTTACTGTAAAGCGGATTCAGGACAGAGCAGAGGTAAGTAAAGACTGTCGATGTGCTCAGGCTTCCAAATTTAAAATACTTTATATTTAAAATTTGTAGCTGCTGATTCTTAAAAACTCTACGTGGTCTTCATAGCATCTCATTTGTGTGTGTGTGGTTTTTTTGGAAATTACTTTTTAAATGTCTAGTTATTTACAGGGATAGGTATTTTATAGGTTGATGTTTCTTTTACCTAATGTTTGGGGGGGGGGTGGCCAGGGGGCGGGGGGAGTGTGTCTGATAAACCTGTGTCTTGTCTGCTAACATTTTCTCCTGGTGGATTGTTTCCGTGAATGTTATTTTAGATGGTGTACTCAAATATTCTCCAAATCCTATGCTGTCTGGTTGAGACTCTCTCTACATTGGTTCCACAGCTTATATAAATTGAAACTAACTCAAGTGAAGGGAGTGCCTCTTTTTACAGTCATGTTATACATTTTTTTGTTTGTTTTACCTAGAGTCCAGACCAAGCGAGACGCGCTTCCCATTAGGCAGGTTCCCTCCCTCCTGTCTTTTTTTATTGATGATATGGGGAGGCAGTTACTTCCAAGTGCCTGCTTCTCTTCTGCCAAATCTATCCCTGAGTCACCATTGGAACTGAAACCTTTGTATTCCAGTTAAGCACCCCACTCTAATCCCCAGTGCATCACCATTTTCAAATCTTATTTTTGTTTTTAATGCCTTCTTTACTTGTTAAGTCATTTAATTCTCTTAACCTTGTAAGCTGATACTGTTATTCTCATTTTTGCAGATGACAGAACTACAGGCACAGAGGTTAAGTTTCTTGCCTAGGATCACATACCTAGTTAAATATATTCCACACACCGTAGTATGTCTGCTATGTGTGTGTGTGTGAGAGACACTGCTGCTTTGGCTGTCAAGAGTGTTTTTCATTATAGTTAATGACATATTCTAGAGATTATTACTGAGAATAATTGAAAGTATTGGGTTTTCGGGAAAGTCATGACGTATTTTTCTATGTTTTTCAATGTAAAAATGCATCATGACTTTTCCGATGACCCAATAATTGCTCATGCTTCAATACCCAAAAAGCCACTGTTTAGCATTCATTGTTTGTTACTGATGCCTTCTTTGCATTGCTGTCTTGGGATTCTTAGTCAACAACAATTTGTACTGTTTTCAGTTTGGAGTTGGTGTATGTGATGAAGTCATTAAATGAAAACTGACATTCCTAGAACCACATTGCCATATGTCTAAAATCAAAGTATTGCCACATGGACCAAATTACCCCATTTCTAACTCCAGATTTCACACCTGACAGACATGCATAAAATAGAGTGGAGACAGAAACTCTAAGCCTTATAGGTGGTTGATTAATTATTTTCTCATTTGGTAGCTAGAGGTTTTCAAACACCCCAAGGCCTGCTCCATAGTAAGATTTAGAAAGGGGAGGAATATGCCTTTTAAAAGAAATAAATGGTAGAATGACGAATGTGCAACAGGAGGAACTGGGACTAAAAAATCTGACTGCTGGCACATTCTCAGGTAGATTAATTAGAGAAAAGGCTTCTTGTGAAAGATGAAACCTGGAAATTGATTTTCGTCAAAAACTCTTGGTGATGTATGCTTTAGAAAGTCTGAATTACTCACATTCCACGTTACATGACTGTGCTGTATTACATGACGTAGTACCATAGGGAGTCCAAGTTATACATACTCCGGTTGGAAGACGGCTCTACAGGACACCGTTTCTCGCAGGTGTACTTCAACCTAATGGGAACCAATGCTTGGGGATTGTCCAAAATCAAGTGGTCAGGGAAGTAGACAGCTCTTTCTGACACCTTGTGGCAGCAGCTGAGCACTGCAACTGTGGCTGTCATGATTGATAATCGAACCACATTTCTAGGGCTCTTCACATGAAACACTTAAAGTGACACTCTTCTTTTCCTTAAATATGAGAGAATCTGTTCCAGATAAATGCAAAAAAGTCCTCATTGTATAGAAATTCTCTGCATTTTGAAATTTTCAAGCCTTGTGCGTTTAAAACCATTTGTACGTTATTATACAGTTGATATTTACATTACTCAGGAATTTAGATTCTCTATACCATGAGGTTGGTTGGCATATTCTTCCATACTGTGTTACTGTGAGTAAAATCAAACATAAAATTCTTGGAAATCAAGGTTTGTTTCATTAGAACTGTTATTTGACATTGTTTAAAGGGTTTATAGATGTATACTACTCTACTGCTACAGTTCAGCTTTAATGAACGTGGAGTAAATACTAAAATAAAGTGTCAAATATTGACTTTCCAACAGACCACCAGAAAAGCCTGTTGACTAATAAGCAAAGCTAAGTTTATTAAGCCTTATGCACTAAGGAGAATAAACCCCCTTGACACAGTCGTGTCTCCTAGTAGGGAGATTAGGAAATGATAGAGGATTTTAGGGCTGTGGCTGAGGAATTTTGAAGTAGGTTTTGCAAGGTTGGTAACTTTGGGATTGGGCAATTTATGATGTCATGGCTTTGGATTGGTGGCTATAAAGAGGCATGTGGTTTGGAACAAGTCTTGATGAGTAAACTAATATTTAGTTGAGCCACAGCCTTATCTTCTAAGAATCTTATCTTCTAGGTTATATTTTCCAGGTATATCCTGAAAGAAGGAGCTAAGTGGTTTATACTTGGTCTCAGTGTTGTTTAACACAAGGACTAGAAAATTATATTGTTGTTTTAATACAAAAATAAAAAAGCTTTTCATGGCTGAAAGCTTTTCTGAAAGAAAGGGTTTATTGAGGCAAATGCTCACCAGTAAAGGACCCGATCCTGGAGCATGAAGTCCAGCAGCAGGGGTAGGTGGAAACGACAGATATGTATGTCCACAGTCCTGGAGTTGACAGCACTTTGATATAATACATTATGTTCTGGGGAAGACAGATAAGGGCGGGAGTGGGGGGCGGGAAAAGTTGAAGCGGGGGCAGCCCTAAGATAGGTGCCAGCCACAGTAGTTGATTCAAAGCTCCAGCATACATCCAGGAATGTGAGCAGTCTACTGTTAGTTGATCCACAGCTATTAATTGGTTACTTTCTCACATTCTCTTGCCCACTGTAATTTAGTTTAGGACGTCTCAGAATTTTTCTCTTCTCAGTTTCTGTTCTGAAAAGTAAGACCTGAATTAATTTACATAAATCATTGGTTTGTTTCAGCTTTGCCCGAAGTTTTTACATACAAATTCTACTAGTCACACTTGGCCATTCAGTGCAGTTGCTGAATTAATAGGTATGTAAAATTGACATTTCATATGTAATCTATCGTGTGCAATTGAAGTTTTAAAAAAGCTTTTCATTGAAAAATAGTGTGTAAATGTGCTTTTTTAAAAAAAAACGTTATCTTGAATGGTAACATTATGAGTAAAGGTTACCTAGCATAACAACTATTCAAATGGGTGTCAAATTAATCACTGTTCAACCCTCCTGATACTACTGTCAAAGTATTTTAATTTGCCAAGTTCATGAAACGTTTATGTTGAAAATTTTTTATGCTGATTATGAAAGAGATAGGTCTATTTAAAAAATATGAGAATTATGTTTTTTAGTGGTGGGGAAGTATGTGTAACAGATTCATTTTTCTGGTGTTAATAAGTAGGAGTATTAATATTATGTTAGATTTGTGGGAATAAATTCTTGTTTCTGCCAATAGATAGAATAACCAAGGTATAGGATTGTATTTTAATGACTTAATGAACATGAAAAAAGAGGCAAGGTTGTGATCAGATTTATATTATGGGTCATGTTTTTTTTTTTCTTGGGAAAATTCATGCACATGAATTTTAAGCATGTTTAAGAAACTAAGGAAAATTATAATCTTAGGAACTCTTAAATATACTTTAGATTATTCATCAAGGAAGGCTTCTATCTTAGATGGTGCACGAAAAAGAAAAGAAGGAACTTTCGAACACCCTTCTTTTCTTTGGTATAGTTATATTTTCCAAAATCTCCCAGCTAACATAGGCTGTTTGTATGTTTTTTAAACCCCAGAGTGAATATGCTATAGCATTGCAGCTATTCGGTCATTGCTTTTTTTATGGCAACCCAGAGGAGCTACTCAACCTAGAATCTATCCTTCACATAGTAGTGATTCTCTAGCTTTCAGTTAAAGCAACTGAAAGTCGTGGTGCTCTTTGTGGTGTATCAAATTTTAAGTTTTTAATGAAACACCGTCTTTCCTGAAGTGATTGATTAAAAAAAAAACAAAAAAAACATTTGATTTCAATTGTAGGCAGACTTAATGGAAAGATAGTTTGAGAACCATTATTTATATCATAACAAACACTTAAAAATGTACCTCAAAAAGTATTTTTGGTCAGTTAGCGATATTCAAAAGTATCTTAGATAGGTTCACACGTCAATTTTATTACTGATACTGTTGAAATTTTCTTTTCGTTTTTCTTTGATGTATTCCTTGATACTTAGCTCTTCCAAGAGAAACAGGATGCTAAACAAGGGTGTTAAATGAGATGGTGTACAGAGATCATAGACGTGCAAAAGCCACCAGAAACTTTGGTTCGATTGTGTTAAAAAAAGTTCCACCCAGTAAATTTGGAGATCTAGTTGGTTTTATAAAGTGATTCCTGAATGGCGCAGCATTCTGTCTGGCAGCTGAAGAGCATTCCGAGGGGCTGTACAAAATGGAAAGATTTTATAGGAAGCAGGATGGGCAAGGGAGCTATTAGTGAAAGAAAAGAATGGATTATTTGGGGAACATCTTTTTGGGGGAAGAAGAGATGGGAACAAAGGTCTTGATCCCGCAGATTGCCCTGCGTCTGCTTTCTGTGTGGGGAATGGAAAGGGCCTACATGACAGATTACCGTACTGGGGCTTGACCAGAAAATTCCAGACTGGTTGAGGTTAACTGAAGTAACATTTGAGAGGTTAAAACTACAGTTAGATTAGGTATTAAAATCCAGTTTTGATGTCATGGGCTTGTAGCACGAGTGATGCCATTTTGGGCCTGTGGTTTTCTCTTTAATAATTGAAAAGGGCCACAATTTGAAAAACTGTTTAGAAGTAAACCATCTATGTATGTAGCTTAGCAGACAATGATGCTGCTTTCTCATTTATTCAGTAACGAAATGGTGTCCCTTCCATGTCAACTCAGAGAGCCAGTGGACACTCAGCTCCTAGTTCCCCTTGTGATCGCCAGGCTAGTTTAGACAGAAGACCTTCTTATCTTGATTTTTCTCTGTAGTGCAGTGTTCTTCCTGCTTTTACACTTTTTTAGTGTAGTGGGTACCAGTCTTTGCTCTCTATAAGGAATGGAGGGCTTTGGAAAGAGTTCATTCTGTTAATAGTCGATGAGCAATATAAAGCAGGGCTACGGTTTTTTAGTTCCATGTTTTCAAATCTTAAGAGTTCTTTAATACTTCAGCTTTTTAAATTTTCATAAAATATGTTATTCCATTGCTTGTTAAAGGATTGTTCTGAGCTAATTGCTTTTCTTTAAAATGCAAACTGAAAATGTCTCAAAACCTTTGTTTCTCAGATAATGCATATGATCCTGATGTGAATGCTAAACAGATATGGATTGATAAAACATTGATAAAGGACTATATATGCTTGACATTCACTGATAATGGGAATGGTATGACTTCAGATAAATTGCATAAAATGCTAAGGTATGTAAAAGTGTCACACTTCTTAAAATCATTGCTATTGCCTAGTTCAAGGGTTTCATGTGTCATACTTACTGCCCATAGTTTTTGGTTTTTTGAACATGAAATGGTATACCCCCACAGTATGCTCTATTTTCTGTCTTCGATAATTTTCTACTATTGTTAGGTTATTAGGCAATCCTACCGTTCTTATCACGCCCTCCCCATGTCTGACTTATCTGAAATTCCACAATTCCTTTATAGAGCTGTAGCACATTGATATCAGTTGTTTATACTTTAGTGTAAATTAGTTTTAACCAGCATTTCCGATAAAACACCACGTTTTTGGGGTGGGTTGTGTAATTTTAAAGGGATTTGGAGGATGAGGAAGCAGCATAAAATAGACATAAGGCCTTAGGCTCTAGGGTTGCAGAATAGGATGTCAGTATGAAGCCAAATGTGCCTGAAATGGAAACTAAGATACATACCACAGGTACAGGGTAGAGGGAGAATTTGGCAGCAGACCTTCTACTGTTCCTCAAATATTCCTTATGCTGCCCAGAAGTCAAAGTTACCTCATCAGTAGTCATACTACAGTAGGCTTGCTGAGAACAAGAGAACCATTCACATTTACAGGAGGGGATTTCATGGGGTGAAATCTCAAGGTCCCAGGGGCCCAAATTATAACTTAGCTATTTAGCCAGGATGTGCCAGGAACAGGCTTCCATTTTAGCGTGTGTAATTTTTATTTATTTATTTATTTTTAAAAGATTTTATTGGGGAATTGGGGGAGGGGAACAGCGTTGGGGAATTGGGGGAAGGAGAACAGATAAGTTGCTGACCTTTTGTTCTTCAGTCCAGTTGTGGAGGACGTCGCTTCACTGGCCCATGTTGGTATTATCATTGCGCTCTTCCCAGCTGAGGCAGATCGGTCGCCTGCCATTGGACAGCCACTCAAGGCAGCTCTTGCTGGCTGCTGGCCGCTCACGCTGGCTGCCAGCCACTCACAGTAGCTTACAGCAGCCCACTGCAGCTTCACTGCAGCTTATGCCGTCACCAGCGACTCACGGCAGCCCAGCTCCAGGTCGAGCTGTTGTTCACCATCTTAGCTGTAGAGGGCACAGTGTCACTGGCCCTCATGTGGGATCTGAACCAGGGCCCTTCTGCTCAGAGTTGGCGTCCCAAGCCAGCTCTTAACCAATGCGCCACTCGGCTGGCCCGTGTGTGTAATTCGTAAAGACCACTGTGATGTGGACTTGGTTTCCTTCATTTCAGAGAGGAGGAACATCAAGACAGATTAAAAGTAATTTGCTCAAGATTATACATCTAGGAAGGATGAGACCAGCATACAAACCCAGGATTGCTACATATTATAGTGTTTGAATTAAAAACATGATTATATGTATTTATTTTTTCATTCTCTCTTTTTTTTGTAGCTTTGGCTTCAGTGACAAAGTCACCGTGAATGGTCATGTCCCAGTTGGATTGTATGGGAATGGTTTCAAGTCAGGTTCTATGCGTTTGGGTAAAGATGCAATCGTTTTTACCAAAAATGGAGAAAGCATGAGCGTGGGCTTCTTGTCTCAGACCTACTTGGAAGCCATAAAAGCAGAACATGTTGTTGTCCCCATAGTGGCATTCACCAAACACCATATCCTTTTGCTTTTGAAATAGAAGCTGTGTAAAAACTAAAGAAATAATGTGAACCGTTCGAGCCTTTTGCCCTCCTCCAGATTCTTGTTTTTTAATCACACCTTCCATTCTAGCTCTTATTCTTATCCACTGCCTTTAACCTACATCTGGGACTAAGCCTTTGTTTTTTTTTCTATTCTCAGTTGGAGTTGTGCCATAGAAATCCTTACCGTTAAGTGGTTACATTTATGTTGAGCTTCCCAGAGCTTTCCTCTTTATTTCTTTTTTTTTTTTTTTTAGCTGAGCCATCCCGCCACCTGTTGGCAGCTCACGGCTGCTCAGCTCGGGCTGACTCGAACCGCTGTTGCTCAGAGCTCAAACTCTTGAGCGAGCTCTTAACCAACTGAGCCACTCAGCCGGCCCCTTTCCTCTTTATTTCAGTCTTGTGGTCTGGCTTGAAATTTTCACTAATTGCCATGAGAAGCAAGATATCTTTAGGAAAATACCTTTTGTATAAGCACACTTCAAATATTGGAAACCATTAAATTAGTTAGGGATAATAACCTTGCTCATACTTCATCTTTCTGGGTGTTCATTTGAAATCAAACTGCCATTTTAAAACTTAGAAAGTAATTTAGTAAATAGTTTTTCTGTTGTTTAAGTTTCACTTGGTTTCCATATGCAATTGTAAAAAAAATATGTTGTTGGTCTGTCTTTAACTTCGGATATACGACAGGTGATTAATTCAGCGGAATCAAAAGCAAGCCTTGCTGCAATTCTGGAACATTCTCTGTTTCCTACGGAACAGAAATTACTAGCAGAAATGGATGCTATTATTGGTAAGAAGGGGACGAGGATCATCATTTGGAATCTTAGAAGGTAAATACAGACCTTAGCTAGGTGTAAATCATTTGGGAAGTAAAGTGAATTTGCATGAATTATTTTATTACATTCATCCATTGTTACACAGAGTAGAAATACACTGGAAGGTGTTCATTTTTTAGCATAGTTAATGATTTGTCTTTTCCAGTGATATTTTATGGAGGCCACTTTGGCTTCAATTTGAAGTAATTTCATAGTAGTAAAAATAAATTTCCTAGCACTGCCATTTAGTCTCCATAGCACCCTCTTCTCACTCTTTGTTATTTTACCCCTCTCCTCAAAAAACAAAAAACAAGGAATGAGAAGATAAAAACCCCTGCTAAATCCCAACTTGTATAAAGGTAAAAGAGAAATCTTTGTTCATTTGGTCCATTACTGAAAGCTTAAGCATGGTTTAGCACCTGGTGAGAAAAGTAATATAGATGGGACTTCTGTGTTGCTAAAATTTGTAGTCTTTTATCCTTGTGAGGATAAGATTCTTTGCAGATAATAGTTTTAAAATTAGGATGACTATGTAATATTGAGAGATCTAAGACATTGAACCATAGGAATAAAGCACAAATAGTGGTAAACCTAAAATACTTTAAATCTTGTGGTTTTCTGGCATCCTGTATTCCCTTCTTCTTTTATTTTTATTGTTTTTGCTTTCCTGTCCCTCTTGTCAGTTTTTTTTTTCCATTAAACTTTTTATTTTGAGATAACTTGATTCATATGCAGTTGTAAGAAGAATAGATCTCGTGCACCCTTGGCCCAGTCTCCCCCAGTGGTAACATGTTGCAGTGCTGTAGTACACTGGTACTGTTGATATCGACATTGATACAATCAAGACACGGGACATTTTTATCACCACTGGGATTCCTCAAGTTGCCTCTTTATGTCCACCCCTGCTCTTTCCTTAATCCCAGGCAATCTCTAGCAAGTTCTTCATTTCTATAACTTGGTCATTTCAAAAATGTTATATAAAAGGAATCATACAGTGTGAAACTGTTTGGGGTTGGCTTCTTTCATTCAGCATAACTCTGGAGACCCCCAGGTTCTTGGCGTGTGTCAGTAGCTTGCTTTCTGTTTCGTGCCCAGTAGTGTCGCATTGTGTGCATGGATCACAGGGTGCTTAACCATTCACCTGTGAAAGGCTTCTGGGTTTTTTACAGTTTTTGGCTATTACAAGTAGAGCTCCAAACATTTGTGGGAATATAGTCTTCATTTTCCTACAGTAAATGACCAGGAGTGTAATTGAAGGTCATATGGTAGTTACAGGTTTAGCTTTTTAGGAAACTTCCAGAATGGCTCTACCGTTTGATCTTGCCACCAGCAATATGTGAATGAATTCAGTTTTCTTGCTTTTCCTGGATTCCTTTTCTTTATTTTTTTTCCTTGCTTTTGTTTCCCCTACCACCACTACCATGACCATGGTGTTTTTCGTGTATAGGTGTTTTGTTTTGTTAACTAATAGTAGTTCCTCGCTTAGCTTGCTGTGAAGTTTAAATTTAGCTCCTTCAAAAAATTATTTTTACAGCTACAAAAATGCAACAGAGTTTGATTTTGATAAGGATAAATACGACATCAGAATTCCAGAAGATTTAGATGAGACAACAGGGAAGAAAGGGTACAAGAAGCAAGAGAGGATGGACCAAATTGCCCCTGAGAGCGACTACTCCCTGAGGGTATGTACCCGGCTCTGTGTGGAAGTGAGAAAGCCATCAGATAATGGAAATTATGTTACCCGCCTTCCTTATACATGCTGCCATAGATCTCTACGTGAAAGTATTTCAGGATTGAACCAACTTAATTAAACTTTGCATGAGTACACTTGTTTTATTTGCTTTGAATAATTTTTTTAATTATGAAGTCATCAGATCTAACAGCATTTGTAGTTCTTTTATTATGTGCTTATATTATTAAATTGGGAATACTAGAATCGGTATATTTTATGATGGCCATATTGATTCATTCAATGAAAAATACCAGATTCAGAGTTTCTCTTTTTTAATTTAAAATGTTATAGAACACACACACACCTTGACATCCAAAAGCAATAAATTATGTATAGACTAGAGATAATGTACATTAATATAATTTTGCGATAAATATCTGAGATTTGACCTTAGAGATAAATGGGTATGTTTTTGAGATTGAGGAAATTAATATCTCAATATAACAATGTTGATATAATATTGTTGTTTCTAGTCACTATGATAAGACATACCATAATTTTTCCCCTTATTTTTTGTGCTGAAATGATCCCATAACCCCAAACGGAGGATACATTTGACAGTTGCATGTCACTGTATCTGAGATCCTAGCAATTAAAATGGCACATATTACTAAACTATTCCTTGATATACTCCAACATGTTATTGAAGTATCTCCTAAGTGTTAAGTTAATCTTGCTCAAGTATGAAATGGGTTTAGCGGCAGCCAGAGCAGATGGCATGGTTTTAGTGTACCATAAAGTACAGTGTTTTAAAATGTCATTAATGAATTTTCTAAATGACAAGACATTACCAATTTTGAAATCAGGAGTCGGGGAAAAAGTAAGGTGAAAGTTCACATTTTCATTTTGTGTTGAACCTTTTATCTGTCCTTCAGTTACTCAGTTCATTTCCTTTGGAGATTTCTGATACCTTGGAGAGGTAGACAGAGAAGAGCATATTTTAACATGTTTTGGGAAGCAGAATTTGGTCAAGATTCTAAAGTATCTAAACTTTCGTGCATTAAGAATTGAAAACACATTTAGATAACTGCTGATTGTTAAGGCTCAATTTTTAAAAAGTACTGTGTCTATTCTGCGTAAGTGTTGGTACACATTATTTACAATTTTTCCTTTCCAAACTTAAAACAGTCCCTTTAGTTTATATTATGTTATTTTTTTATCTAAAATAAAATTTATTGGTGCTTTAAAAATTATAACAGCAATACATATAGTTGACAGAAGAGTCAGAAAATATAATCCTTTTTTGTACATACGTACATTTTTAAAAAATTAAAATGAGATCATACCAGACATGGTGTTTTGTAACTTTTTTTCACTTAACATATCAGTATAGGTCAATAGATTGTTTTCTGCAAATCATTTTTACTAGCTATGGTGTGTTGAGTTTATTTTTAATGAAAAGTAATCAAATATTAACTAATAACAGCTTTATAGTATATACAGAGGGTACCAAAAAATGTATACACATTTTAAGAAAGGAAAAAGCTGTATTAAAATTATAATACTCAATATATACCAATAACAAAAGATGAATACAAGTCATGTGTATATATATATTTTTGGCACCCCCAGTATTATTTAAGAGTTAACGGGTCATTTATAAAGCAAGGTGGTAGCTTTCTTTTTAAATGCATGCGTAAGTAGTGTTGAACAGATCTGTGAATAATTATTTCAAAAGGATAATTACTGTGTCTTTGCAGGCTTACTGCAGTATATTATACCTAAAGCCAAGAATGCAGATCATCATACGTGGACAGAAAGTGAAGACACAGCTAGTTTCGAAGAGTCTTGCCTACATTGAACGTGATGTTTATCGACCCAAATTTTTAGTATCCTTTATTTTTTCTTTTTATGATGCCGTATAGAACTATATTAGTCAGGTGTATTCCTCCTCCTCTTTTCTCCTTATTCTCTCTAACTTTGCCCTTTTTTATGCACTTTTGGACTCAGTAAATAATGAAATAGAGAGAATGATTCGCAGGGAGTGAGGTGTGGTGTGTTCAAATTTTTTCTTAACATTTAAGACTAAAACAGTGAGAATTACTTTTGGATTCAACTGCAGAAATAAAGATCATTATGGGATAATGATGTATCACAAAAATAGACTCATCAAAGCTTATGAAAAAGTTGGATGTCAGTTAAGGGTAAGCTGAAAATGTCTATCTTTTATAAAAGTTAGAGTAACTTGTTATTGGGTCAAATGTGAAATAATATGCTTTTTGCCTAATGACTTCAATGTCAGTGTTTTTATTAACATTGGCATGTCACTTGAATTTAGAATACTTTGATATTAATTTCTCATTTGGACCTGAATAATCTTATGAGGGGGACAGAACATTTTGCTTTGCTTTATCTGTGTTTTATAGATGAGGAAATAGGGGCTGATAATAATAGTAACGTTCCCCAGCCCTAACAGTGAGTATGGATCCCAGACACACACGCAGACCTTTCACTACATTTGGCTATGGAGTCCTGGTTAATTCATGCTGGAATGAAATTGGTTGGTTTTAGTTAGTAGCCTGAAAATATAGTATGATAGGCGATTTACTTTTTTGGGTTAGTTCCTAAGTATATTAGAGTCTTCCTCCTAAACCACCTCCATTGTAGAATTTAATTTAGGATGATGAACGTCGTCCCATGTCAGTCTGTGTAGCCTTCACATGTTTTCACAGAAAAGCTCTTTTGGTGTGTGTGTGTTAAGAATTCAGTGATAAATTCTGAAAGGCAACTTTGTTAAAGGTTTTCAGTCTAGGCATTTTTTGTTTTCCAATTCTGTGACTTTTCATCTTCATTCTGAATTCTTTGTAGGATGGATGATGTGAGTGCTACATAGCATGGGTTTATCTTGAATATCATTTAAAAGGTTAAAAGTATTACATACTTTACATGGTATGAGCTCAGAATACAGCAAAAGTAAATTAACTTTGTTGGGCTCTTTGTAATCACTAATATTAGTCAACAAATAAATCCAACAATCTGGCAACCATGATATGAAGTATCAATAACTTATTTAAAAAGCTAATTTTCATTTATAATTGGAATAGTAATTGTCATCAGAAATATTCTATAATTAAATTAAAGTTTCTGAATTTCACTAGGAATTGAAAATGCATTTTTGGTATAGGCCTTATTTCTGAAGTGCTTTGGGATGCAAAAGAAATATTGTATCTGCTACAAGCAGAATGTAAATAATTTTTTTCTTTTACTATTTATGAATTGGACTTAAAATACATAGCTCTTTTCCCCACCCAGTTAAATTTACATTATATGTAATTTCTGGTTAAGCTTTACCTTATAAAAAATAGGCTTTTACAACCAACTTTTAATGTTTTTTCTTTACCCAGATGATGGATTGGACCTAGTATTTGCATTCTGTGGATTCAGTAAACGTTTATTAAATAGGTGTCAAATACCCAGATTTGCCATGCCAAATGCTCTGCATAAAAAGCTAAGATGCAGAGCAAGCCCTCAGAGCTCCGTTTGGGAGGGGAATGTGGTGCATCCTTGGAGCTTCAGAAAAGGCTCTTTGGAGAAGGTGACTGAGATGACTCTCAGTTGACTGTACTGTGTTGGAAAGTCTGGCAAGGCTTTCTAGGCAGAGAAAAGAATATCTGAAAGTGAAGGGAAAGGAACTTCTGAGACTGGCATCACGAAGGGAGTAATTTGCTCTGCTGGACCAGATGTTAAGTGGGAGATCGAGTAATAGGAGAGACAGGAAGATAAGGCTGGAACGGTGAACAAGAAGTACAAATTGAAGGGTACTGTGGTTTCCAAATGGTAGGGGATGTGGAACCACTGGTGGTTTTTAATAGAGCACAATTGGGGTTTTTTAATAGAACACAATTGGAGCTGGCCGTGTGGCTCAGTTGGTTAAGAGCACGAGCTCTGAGCAACAGGGTCGCTGGTTCGATTCCCACATGGGATGGTGGGCTGCGCCCCCCTGCAGCTAAGATTGAACACGACACCTTGAGCTGAGCAGCCGCGAGCTGCCATCGGGCGGACAGATGGTGACTGGACTTGAAGCTTAGCTGGCTGCACCCTCCACAACTAAGACTAAAGGACAACAACTTGGCTGTTCCCTTCCACAATTCTCCAATAAAAAATCTTAAAAAAAAAAAAAGATTATGATTAGATTTATGGGAATTCATCTATAGTTATGCAAAGTTTCATGTTATAAGTTACATGTTCTTTTGCTTTGTCTCCTTGTGTAGACTCAGAAGTAAGTCATGAACAAAGTATATTTGATAATCACATAGAGAATCAGAATAGGACTCATATGGTTTGAGTTCAGTATTGTAGCTAGCAGGGTTTAAAAAAATCACTTTAATTCAATTGACTTGGGTTTTTGTTTTTTTTTTTAAATTAGCTGAGCCATCCTGCCACCTGTTGGCAGCTCAGCGGCATCTCAGCTCGGGCCGGGAATCGAACCTGCTACCCTGTTGCTCAGAGCTCGCACTCTTGAGCGAGCTCTTAACCAACTGAGCCACTCGGCCGGCCCTGAGGTTTTTATTTCATTGCCATTAACAACTGAATGTCTAACTCTGGATAAACTTTTTTTTTTTTTTTTTTTTTAAGATTTTATTGGGGAAAGGGGACAGTGTTGGGGAATTGGGGAAGGGGAACAGCCAAGTTAGATAAACTTATCTAGCAAACATGAAACATGTGCCAGAACCTTTGCTAGGCTCTGTGGGTGTAGAAATGAATTAGTTATCTGTGGTGTCCACTACCTATGAAGATGCATCCCAGTAGAGGTGGTCCTTTTTCCCTTGTGTAAAATTGAGGGTGATAATCCTTGTCTAAATGGACACTTGACAACAGTGGAAGTGGTTGTAGGCTCTAATGTATTTAGGAATTCCTAAAAATGTAAATTAACCTACCAGACACTGTTTTTCTATCTAAAGTTCATGAGAATCTTATGAGATAAGATACAGAAAATGTTTCATACAAATCTTTGTGAAAGGGTAATTATTTTGAGCATTATGTCTTATGCTTAAAATGCCAATTTCGTTTTCTGTTTCAGGCAAACAACATGGGTGTTGGAGTAGTGGGAATTATCGAGTGTAATTTCCTAAAGCCAACTCATAATAAACAAGATTTCGACTATACTAATGAGTATAGGTATGTTATCTATTCAAATTATTCACTTTGTACAATTTATTTTGGAAATACTTTCACAACTTTTTCTAAACTGAATTGTTTTCTCTTGTGGATATTTTTACATTATAGAACTCTTAAGAAAATTGGTAGGTGAAAGACTTACACAGAAAACACATTTAACCGTCATCTTTCATCCTAGGAATTGTATTCTATTCGCTCACAAGTAGAAACTTATTTTCCCCTGTCTTTACTGATGAAGTATTTCTGAGATTTATTTAAAATAGAGGAAGTTTCTATTACTTTAAAGGTATTAATATTTTTTGTGTAGTCATAAAATCCTGAAACTTTGTGTTTAGATGGCAACTTTACAGTAATTTAGTCTTATGTACCTTAGACAGAAAGACTCATGTTTTTTTACAAGTGGTTAGAAGCCATAGAATAAATATGACCATTAATGTTACTTGTAAATTTAGGAAGCACAAACTGTCCTAGTGAACATAAGTTATGGACCAGAATGCAAACGTTATGTAAATATGTATTTTTGGTAAAGACAAATATCATAGGCCCTCTCCTCCAATAAAGAACAAATAAAACAAAGTAGAAGGAAGGATATAAACATAAAAGCAAAATCAGTGAATTTGGAAACACATACAATAAAAGAAAATAAATATTTAGAGGTTAAAATAATAGAAGGTGATTACTAAAAGGGGTCAGAGAGGACAGTTGGTGTCCAGAGCATGCAGATACAAAAGAGCAGCTATTCCCTCAAGGCTGAAAAAGAAGAGACAAGAAAGGATCTAGGTCAGCGGTTCTCAACCTGTGAGTCACAACCCCTTTGGGGGTTGAACGACCCTTTCACAGGGGTCACCAGGTACTTGTATGTGGGCGTATCTGCATGTGGGCCTGGAGACGGATAGAGGAGCGGTGTCTCGGTTCCTAAGACCATCGAAAATATGTGTTTTCCGATGGTCTTAAGCGACCCCTGTGAAAGGTTGAGAACCGCTGGTCTAGGAGAAAGCCCTTCTACCCCCTGAAGTCAGAGATTCAGATTTCTTGTAGCGGTTGTGACAAACACAGGAATGAACTACCTGCTATGGCAAGAAACTTGCAGAAGGCCTGGCCAGAAGAGGTCAGTACGTGTGGCCTGCTGTTGCCAGTGGCTGTGGGTGGGCTGGGGCTGGTTGTGGAGATCTGTCCGCCCAAGGATACAGGCATGCGAGAACTGGGCTGTGTTGCTGAAGTGCAGAGCATGGCCACTGGGCAGCAGCGAGTACCAGAACCTGAAAGACAAGTGTCTTGCTGCCATCAACCAGCAGGTTCATTGCCCCTTAACCCAGTTTACCATTGTCCAGACTGGCAGAGGATAAACGTTTACAGGATCAAGTGCTAGTATCACAGAACTGAGTAAGAAAGACTGAAATTTGAACCAAGAGACAGTAAATGGATAAGTGACACAATAAAAAAGGTTGAAGTTTGTTCTTTGATAAAATTAATAAAGGCTATAAGCATCTGGCAAGACTAAGGAAAGAAACGAGAAACCAAACGGTCCATATCAGAAATGAAAAGGAGGACATTACTGTAGATCTACAGATAACAAAAACCATATCAAAGGGTTAGCTTGAATAATTTTATACCATTTTATTTTTATTTTTTCCTAAAGATTTTATTGGGGAATTGGGGGAGGGGAACAGTGTTGGGGAATCTGGGAAGGGGAACAGACAAGTTGCTGTCCTTTTGTTCTTCAGTCTAGTTGTGGAGGACATCCCTTCACTGGCCCATGTTGGTATTATCATTGCGCTCTTCCCGGGTGAGGCAGTCGCTTGCCGGCCATTGGATGGCCACTTACAGCACCTCACGAAAGTGCACGCCATCTGCCGACCAGCCCCACTGCAGCCTACGCCGCTGCCAGTGACTCACGGCAGCCCAGCTCCAGGTCGAGCTGTTGTTCACCATCTTAGCTGTAGAGGGCGCAGCGTCACTGGCCCCCATGTGGGATCCAAACCGGGGCCCTGCTGCTCAGAGCTGGCGTCCCAAGCCATCTCCTAAGCAATGCGCCACTTGACTGGTCCAATTTTACACTATTTTAGATGATATGAACACCTTCCTTTGAAGTTGAATCAATGTTTAGAAAACTTAATGCATACTAAATTCAAACATTTAAGGAAGAGGTAGCACCATTCCCACACAGACTCTAGCAAGATTTTATGAGGCTGTATAACTTGAGCAATGAGCTTATGAATATAAGAAAGGAAATTTATGTCAGTCTCTCATGATCAAGATTATCATGATGTTAAAGTAATAGCAAATACCATCTAGTGACATGTGAAAAGGATAATACATTAAAATTCAAAAACCAATGTTATTCATCACACTGATATTAAAAAAGGAAACTCATAGTTATTTTCATAGATCCTGAAAAAGCACTGGATAAATCATAACACCCATTTGTGATTTAGAAAAAAAAGGAACATTTACAAAAACCATTAATTGAAAGGGCATAGTAACAATACAGAGTATTCACAAAAAACAGCAAGCATTTTTTTTTTTTAAAGATTTTATTGGGGAATTGGGGGAGGGGAACAGCATCGGGGAAGGGGAAAAGACAGGTTGCTGTCCTTTTGTTCTTCAGTCTAGTTGTGGAGGACGTTGCTTCACTGGCCCATGTTGGTATTATTGCGCTCTTCCTGGGTGAGACACATCGGTCATCAGACACTGGACGGCCGCTCATGGAGGCTCTTGGCAGCTCACGCCAGCTGCCAGCCACTCACGGCAGCTTATGGCAGCCTACTGCAGCTTCACTGCAGCCCACGCCATCACTGGTGACTCACAGTAGCCAAGCTCCAGGTCGAGGTGGTGTTCACCATCTTAGCCACAGAGAGTGCAGTGTCACTGGCCCAATGTGGGAAATGAACTCCTGCTGCTCAGAGCTGGCACCCCAAGCCAACTCCCAACCAACGCACCACTCGGCCAGCCCGCAGGCATCATTTCTAATGGTGAATTATTGATAGCTTCCCCCCAAGAGTGAGAATGAGATAGGTTATCAACAATTCACCATTCTTGCGGAAGTTAACCAGTACAATAAGGCAAGGAAAAGAAATAAAAGTTACAAGCGTTGGAAAGGAAGAAATAAAACTTCTCTGTAGATATATACATGTCCAAAATAATCTGCAAATTGGAATTCATATAGTAACAATATGTAAGGTTGCTAGATAAGTATTCAGAAATCAGTTGTATTTCTGTATACTAGCAACAACAGAAAAACAACATGAAATTTAAAAAATCATAACATAAAAAGAACAAGTATTATGGAGTAAATAAAATACGCAAAGATTGCAACACTGAGAACTACAAAACATTGTGGAGTGAAATTTAAGACCTGAATAAGGAGGTCTACCAGATTCATGAATTGGTCTACTCAGTGCATGAACTGAGTATTGTAAAGTGTCGAGTTTTCTCCAAAATAATTAAATGCATTTCCAGTTTAAAACAAAAACAAAACAGGTGTGTATGGGTGTCGATATATGAATATGCTTATTCCAAATTTTATGTGGACAGTAACAAGACCAAAGCTGGTTAAGACAGTCATTAAAGAACAACAAAGCACAAGGACCTACACTGCTAAGGATCAAGACTTATAAAGCTGCAGTAACTAAGAACGTGGGTATTAATGAAAGACAGTATAGTGAAATAGAGAAGCCAAAACAAACCCACACTTTTCATACATACGGTCACTCAATTTATGACAGGTTACATGATAGTGTAGGGAGAAAATGATCTTTCCAATAATGCTGGGTCACCTGGCTGTCTGTATGGATAAATGAACTTTTAACTCCTGCCTCTCAAATTGAAAAACCAGTTCCAGATAGATTGTAGACCTAAATGATAAAGCAAAATTAAAATGGAAACCAGCGTATTTTCATAATGGGCAAAATTGGAAAAATTACAATGAGTGAAACATAGCAAACGTTGGCAAGATGTAGGCAGTTGGAGCTCAGCCATTGCTGGTGGATGATCATATTTAAAAATTAAAAGCCCCTGTCACCCTGCAGTTCCAGTCCTAGGTATATTCTCAACAGAAATGGGTGAGGAATGGAGGTGATGAGAAAAAGAAATGAACTGTGGCCTTAGTCTTATCTCAAATAGGTCCCATTGATTTGCTTTTTAACATTGTGGGAGAAAATGAAAGCCTTAATTGTGGAACAGAAGCTAATTTGAAGTATACTTGCTAATGATCCCATACTTTGATAAACCAAAAGAAGGAGTTCTAATTTGAATTAAAGCTTGTCAGGTTGGGGTTGAAAGAGAGCCTGTGATTCTCCCAGTAATTAATTGATCAACAACGTGCTTTCCCAACAGGGACTCAGTAGTATTTTGTCTCTTCTTTCCTAGATGATGCTGGCTCTGCTCTAGGAACTTATATAGAAAATTGCCATTACTTTGAATGCTGTTCATTAACTGTACCTTTTAGAGTCTTCCCCCCCCCCCCAGTGTCCACATGCTCATTACTAGGTTATTTATGCTTTCTCTGTGTTTGAGAAAGATTGAATATTTATCATGCTTTTTAAAATTGATTTTATAACTTACTTTTTTAAGGCTTACAATAACAGCACTAGGAGATAAACTCAATGATTACTGGAATGAAATGAAAGTGAAGAAAAATGCAGAGTATCCTCTTTTAAGTTTGCCAGTTGAAGATATACAGTAAGTACATTAAAAAGTCAACCCACTCTAATCAAGATGTAAAATAGGAGAGTATAGTGGTTGTACAGTGTTTGCAGTTGACTTCTAACCCAAATTAAGAAAGTTCTACAACCTGAATCAACACACTGTAAAATGAACGAATGAATATATACATTTGTAAATATACACAAAAGATTCATGAAATAGTATTTACCCATTTGCTGTGTGTTGATATCATTTATTTCATTTGAAAAATGCATATCTTGACCCATTAAATTGATTTCATAATCCACTAATGGATGGCATCTCATAGTTTGAAAAACCCTGGTGTTGTGTAATAGGATCATGAGTGTAAGGCCAGACTTGAGTTTATATTCTAGTTCTGCTCAAGCAATTGTGTGACATTGAACATGTTACTTGGCCTTTTACAAGCTTCCATTTTCTCATTTTGAAATGGGAACATTAATAGCATTTACCTCCTAGAGTTGTAAGACATGCCTGACAGGCACTCAGAAACACAGGTAGTACCTAGCAACAGTCCTACGAATGAGTAATAATTATACTGATGGAAAGATGTTCAAGATGTATACTGAAAAACAAAGACATAACTTAATGGGTTGATTTCCCCACTGTATTTTTTTTGTGTGTCCATATACACATACATAGTGTAACCTCCTGAAACAAGGGGGTTTATATTTACTTTATAAATTTCTGAATTGTTTGATGTTTCATATAACTAAATGCATTTTTTTAAAACTAGATTTAAAAAATTATTGGCATTAAGGTGAAGTCTTCATATGTTAAATGAGTCCACATCAGTTCTTTACAGGATCGTTAGTAATTTTTATTATTTATTTTTTTGTTTCATGTCTTTATTGACCCAAAAAAACCAAAAAGTCATAACATTTCCGACTTTATTCAAACACACAAACAGTAACAAAGGGCACTCACAAGCGACAGGCATGGTCCCTAACATCGGGATCAAAGGCCATGCTGGAGGGTGTAGGTGTCCTCTTGGCCCTGCTTTCTCAGCATCTCTTCCCTTCTTCCCCCACACCCCTGGGATTAGTTAGAACTCTGCAGAAACAAGGCCATCTAGAGGAGGTTGGGCCCCACAGAGCATTGTAATTTTTAAATGATAAAAGTATGAAAGTACTTGATGAACTGAAAGAATATATAAATTTTAGTTATTCAGAGATGTGTTATTTTATGTACTTGAGTGGTTTATTGTGCTAATAAGTATAGATTTGACATTATAGATGCTAACTTAACATAAATTTTTAGAGCAAGGCACAGGAAATATTTTCTTGTTAGAGTTTTTATTATAGAACAAATTTAATAGTATGCTCTTAAACAATACATTTTTGTCACTTTGCTTAAATTGGCTTGTCATTTTTAACCTTTTGGAAGTAACCAAAATTGTTGGTTTCAAAAATTTAACTTGATGCACACAATAATAATATCACAAAAATTTCAGGGACAGGATTAAATAATAGTGGCATTTTATAGTTGAAATGATGTAGAAAATCTAAGGGAAGTGTACTTAGTATCGATGCTTCTGTGCTAATATTTTGTTGTTTTGTTACAGGAAACGCCCTGATCAGACATGGGTTCAGTGTGATTCCTGCCTAAAGTGGCGAAAATTACCCGATGGGATAGATCAACTTCCAGAAAAATGGTATTGCTCCAATAACCCTGACCCACAGTTCAGGTACCATATAGTTGGTAGAGTACCCTTTTTGGAAAGGCAGAGAATACTGTTCAAGAGGTATCAATTGGCACTGGTGACCTGTTACCCCTATATTTTTCTGACTAGAAATTGTGATGTTCCAGAAGAACCTGAAGATGAGGATTTGATGCATCCCACTTACGAGAAAACCTACAAAAAGAAGTGAGTGTTGTATTAATAATGTGTGGTGGAAAAACAATTAATGCCCAAACCGTCAACAGTAGTGTGTCTGCAGTATTAGTTGATGCTTCTCCAAGATAAAGCTAGTACAATGGACCCTTGAATAATGTGGGGGTAGAGCACCCACCCCCTCCCACAACTGTCAAAAATCCGAATGTAACTTAAAGCTGGCTCTGTGCGTATGTGATTGGTTGAATCTGCGCATGTGAAACCTGGGGATAAGGAGGTCTGCCTGGATGTTAACTGAAAAAATTTGTGTATAAGTGGACTTATGCAGTTAAAAACCATGTTGTTCAAAGGTCGACAGTACAGCCAAAAAAGGTTATGACCCAGAAAAGATTTTGGTGTGGAGTGCATAGTATCAACTGCTTTTTACAAAATTTATGCTGTGGATACTGCTGTTTTTTCACTTGCTGTTTGTTGCTGTCCTATATACAAGATAGGTACAGACAGGATAGTTTGTCTTTTGGGGCCACGCACAGATGCATCGGAAGTGAATACTGACCTTTATTTATTTATTAGCTGAGCCATCCTGCCTCCTGTTGACAGCTCAGCAGCTGCTCAGCTCGGGCCGGGAATCGAACCAGCGACCCTGTTGCTGAGAGCTCGCACTCTTGAGTGAGCTCTTAACCCACTGAGCCACTCAGCCAGCCCAGTACTTCCCTTTATGAGCTTACAGTGTAACAGGGAAGGTGAGACGTGTATGTTACTGATTAGAAGTTGACAAGCACTGTGAAAGGCCCAATCCAGTCCTGTTAGGAAGCCTGTAAGGAGAGAGTCCTTCTGGCTGGAGATGGAGAGGGCAGAATGGATCAGGAAAATGCAGGAAGGATGGTTTTGTAATGGACCTTGAAGGATGGGTAGGATGAGAATGTTTGGGGAACAATGATTTGTTCAACTTGACTAGAGTAAATACATGAATGGGCCCAGTGGAAAATGGAGGTGGGCCAGAGAAGTTGGGTGGGTGATGGAGGCTAGTTAGCTATGGTGAACTTGAGGCTAATTGTACTGCACTCAGAAGGCTGAGTTCACGAAGAACTTCCAGGTAACTGATTTCTGTTGCACTGCTTTTGAAGATAAATCCAGTAGGACTGGAAGTAAAGAAACCTCCAGTTAGGGGCTGGCCGAGTGGCTTAGTTGGTTAAGAGCTCGCTCAAGAGTGTGAGCGCTGAGCAACAGCAGTTCGATGCTAGGCCCGAGCTGAGCTGCCGGTGAGCTGCCAACAGGTGGTAGGATGGCTCAGCTAAAAAAAACAAACAAACCCCAGTTAGAAGCCTGTGTGGTGTTCTGGTCAAAGGTCTGAAAACAATGGGGGTGGAGGAAAGTGGGAGGCAGACATTAGGGTGTCACTGAGGTAGGAGGTAGAAAATATTCCCCAGCCTAAGGGCTGACTACTGATTATAGTTTAATGTATATGTCTGAATGACTAAAATGGCAAGTATGTCATTGGAAAACTGAACAGAAAAATAAGGAAGTAAATTTAAATGTTTTTCTTTTCTTTTTTTTTCTTTTTTTTTTTTAAGAGACAGGGAAAAAATCAGGATCAGACATCTGGAAAGGATCCCACAGGTAATTAACCTTCCATTTTATAGCTGTGTCTTATACTGGGTAGTCATTAATTTAACAAGTGTGTTTTTCCAGGACCCATTAGCTCCAAGTCAAGTAGTTGTTTCAATGTAGTTGTGGAGGGCGCAGCTCAGTGGCCTGTGTGGGGATCGAACCGGCAACCTTGGTGTTACCAACACTGCGCTCTAACCGCCTGAGCTAATCGGCCACCCTCAGCCAGTGATTTTAAAGCTTAAGAGTCACTTAACAAATTGAAGGGATTTTGTTCATTCAGTTCACATATTCCTCTTTTCTTGTGCCCTTCTTTGTCCTCCTTCCCGACCTGGACTTCTTAACCCAACAACTTCATTCAAACTGTACAATTTTTTTATTTAGTTGGGCATCCTCTGAGAAAAGGCAGGCATTCTTTTAAGAATCTTATTGTTAGCTAGACAGTCAGGGAAAAATTGACAGGAATACCCAGGGAGCCGTGTTCTGGTTCCAGCCTGGGCCAGAGTCGTCGTGTTCTTTCTGTGCTGACCACTCTGCCTGGCCCTCCCACGCCTTTCTTAGTGCCGAATGGTGTTAAGGGGCCTTTTGTGAGCTTATGGTGGGTAGTCTTCCTTGCTGTGGAAGCAGTTTCGGTCTGCTGCAGATGTTTGCTTGCTTTCATTTACACTGAAATGTTGTCTTGTGTAAAGGCTGAGGGTTTGGGGGTGAGAACAGGCCTGGAGGAGAAAGAGTAGTGGGCTTAACTTTGGTTTTTAAAGGCAGTATCTTTATGACTCTATCTTCAACTTCTTTCTCTTAGAAAAGTAAGTTTTTATTATATCTCAGTAAGTCCTATATATACATACATACACACAGTACAGTGCTAGCAAATTTTTCTGTAAAAGGCCAAATAGTAAATTATTTTTGTCATTGTGGGCCATGTACAGTCTCTGTTGCATAGTGTTTGCTTGTTTTGTTGTCTTGTTCACACCTTTAAAAATGTAAAACCATTCTTAGCTCACCTGCAGGACGGATTTGGCCTATTGGCCTGTTTGTGGCTCCCTGGTGTAGCTCAAGGAAGTTACAGGGTTAGGAGTTAAGAATAGTTCACAGCATCTTCTGGGATAAGGCAAAAGGGGAAAATAATACTTTGTGTTTGGAGCATGGCATATTGAAAAAGTTCCTTTCAGATCAATTTGTTTTTCCTCCACCAGATTTCTACTGCCGACCTGTTTGGCACCACCCCCGTGCCAAGTCAGAGCTTTTCTCCTGTGAAGGAAAGTGTTCCAAGAGGCCATCTTTCAGAGTCAGTAAATGCTTATGCAACAAGACTCATGAATAATCACCGAGGGTCACCGCAGTCTGAGCCTGAGAGCAACAGGTCAGTGGCTAACATGTGTTTCTCCATTTGGGGGATGAATATTTAACAGAGCCTTTACTTGGCACTTCTATGAAAATAATGCACTTGTGAGAAATTTTAGCATATATGCATGTAAAAAGTCTTAAGGACAAGTTACTTTGCTTTTATTGTCTAAACTTACCCCACCCCACTATACAACCTATTTAAATAAAAAATATTATATTTATTGTGGAATTTGATAAAATTGTCACCTCTGAGATTCTGTATATTATAAAAATTCCTGCTTTTAAGATTATAAGTATCTAAGAAAAACATGAATTATTAACAAAAGAACATTATAATGTCAAGTGTGACCCGTAAGTTCTTAACATAGCTTGTGGCATGCTGTATATTTTAGATGAATAGATGGAGAAGGAAGAGAGAAAGAAAAGTGGGAGTGATGTGGGAATTGAACAGTGAGCTCTCTTGACTGGAATGGTCAGGGAAGGCTTTATAATGAGGTGATACTTAGGTTGGTTCCTGAAGTTCTGAAAGCAGTCCTCTGCACAAGTGGCCCATTGCAAGGAGCAGAGTGAACACAGGTGAAGAAGAGCGAGCAGAAGCCAGTGAGCTAGTGCATCACGCTGACTACCCCTGACGTTTGTTGTTAAAAGAGCAACATTGGCAGCAGGGTTCTCTGAGATAGGCCAGATTTTCCTGAGAGGTTTTGTAGCTTTCATCAAATTCTCAAAGGGATTTTTGACCGCAGGAAAGATTAGAAATAACTACATTTAGGCATATATACACCAAGGAGGACATGTTCTAAAATGGTTTTCCATTTATAGCCCACATTTTGAGGACTTGTTTTGGGGTTTGATTGCTGCTAAACTAAGAACTTGTGTCAATTTTTTTTTTCACCAGTCTCCTTAATATTTTTGGTTTTTCTTTGTAAAGATGGTTCCAGACAAAGTAAGAAAAAGTAAAATCTGTGAAGTTTACAGATAAAAGATAATGGAATTTATTTTTTAAAATGTCTGCTTTCAGAATGGAAGAAGAGAATAGAGAGAAAACTTTCATTAATTTTTTTTTTTAAGATTTTGTTGGGGAATTGGGGGAGGGGAACAGACAAATTGCTGTCCTTTTGTTCTTCAGTCTAGTTGTGGAGGACGTCGCTTCACTGGCCCATGTTGGTATTATCATTGCACTCTTCCCAGGGGAGGCAGATTGGTTGCCGGCCATTGGACAGCCGCTCACGGTGGCTCTTGGCAGCTCACGCCAGCTGCCAGCTGCTCACACTGGCTGCCAGCCACTCACGGTAGCTTACGGCAGCCCACTGCAGTCTACGCCGTCGACTCAATGGCAGCCCAGCTCAAGGTCGAGCTATTGTTCACCATCTTAGCTGTAGAGGGCGCAGCGTCACTGGCCCACGTGGGATCGGAATAGGCGGCCCTGCTGCTCAGAGCTTGCGCTCCCAAGCCAACTCTTAACCAGTGAGCCACTCGGCCAGCCCAACTTTCATTAATTTTTAAAGCCTGTATTTATTCTCAAATTCATAGAGCCAGTCTGTGGAAAGACCTAAAATAAGTCTTAAGAAAGACAAATAGTAATTAGCTTGGTAAGAACAATATTAGGGCAATTCCCAATGAACTGATTAATTCCAGAGATCCCAGGACAAGTGTTAGAACTTAGAACAACTGTCAGGTACTCCTGAAGTGGGGAAACAGGGCTGAGGAACAGGCTTGTTTGAAAGTTTAAGAGTAGTTCCCTAGAGCTCTTAACTTGCAAAGTCTGGCAATGGCTGCTTCTCTTCTGTGTCAGAAGGTAGAAAGCTTTCTTATTGGAGAAGTTTTTACTGTTGAAGATGTGGGTGAGCCACTGTTTTGAAAACAGAGGAGCAAGTGGAAGTTTGAATACTGAATGATGCGAAGTTCCCCTCCCTTTCTTCCCTCACTGGGCTCCCAAGAGAAAAGTCCTGGATGATGACGACAGTTTGAGCCCCTTGAGTCACAAGCTCAGCTCTCATTGCTTCTAGTCAGTGTCACTCTGAAATAATACCTAGATAGCCAAGGATAACCAGATGCACAAACTGAAACGGGAGGTGAAGAAACCTTGTGAGATTTATTGGGAGGCGTGTAGATGTTGAACAAATAAATCTCAGAGCAAAAAGATAAACAGTTGGAAGGTAGGAAAAAGAAAAGGCAAAGTACAGGAGAGTCAGCATTCAGAAAGCACAGGGATGAAATAATGGAAGAAAGACTTAAGTTCTGCTACATAGACAGCATAATGACTGGGAAGAGATCCGTTCTAAGTAGCATCATGAGATTCTAGAATACCAGGGAAAAGATTTGTTTTTTTCAGAGAGGAAGAACACAGATTACTTACAAAAGATGAGGAATCTGAATGGTAAACACTGACTGGTAGATAGCTATGGGATGATGCTTTTAAAGATTTGAGAAAGTAATTTCCAACCTGGAAGTCTATTTAAAAACCAAGCCAGCAATCAACTTGAGAGGTGACTAAAAATTTTCATCATGCGAAATATTACATTTTTTATATCCTATGTACCCTTTTTCAAGATTTTATTGGAGACTGTGCCTCCTTGATAGGAGAGAGGAAGCCCAAGAAAGAGGGAAATCTTTCCTAAGATCAAAGAAATATGAGATCTAACACATGAGGCCCAAATAGCAAACCGGAACAAATATCCCTCTCTGTGGGGCAGAAAGTAACCAATGGTGATAAGTTCACAGAAAATTAAGCACATAAATAAAATGAGGCAATTTTTAATGCAGGGAAGTAATTATTTGACGTTAAAGGATAGGGCATGCTAGTTTACTTTGGCGCACATCTGATCGCTGAATGTCCCTATTATCATGGGCGAGGGGAATGGCAGCACCTCTCACAAGAGCAGTTGTGGGGTGTGGGTGGGGTTCTGTTTTGGACATGTATGCACTGAAATGCCCAAGGACACCAGATGAAGAGGTGTTCGGCGGTATATAGATCCAGTACTTAAAGAGATCTCAACAGTCTTGTTTCCTCATCTGTAAAAGGAGAAAGTAATCTCTACTTCATTAAATCATTGGGCAGTACTGTGTAATATATTAGGTTTTTAAAAAATAAGCATGGGTATTGCTTAGAATTTTAAGGTCATCTATTTTGTTCCTATCTATATTTTGTAATCTTATATATGTAAAATATTTTCCAGCATGAAACGGAGACTTTCTACTCGTTCCTCGATTTTGGATACAAAGATTCGCAGATTGAGTAATCCAGCATTTGAAAATTCAGCTTATAAAAATGATGATGATGAAGATATCATCATCGTAGAAGAAAACAGCACTCCCAAGCCCGCAGTAGAGGCTGACGTTGAAGTGAAATCGGAACAGTCTCTCATGGAGCGAAGTGGTGTTCCAGTCGAGCCTATGGGTGACCCCGAACCTTGTGGCCAGACCAGTTCAGCAGGCACCTCATCATCCAGCTGTGACCCGGGAATGGCTGTGGCCACCCAGACTGAAGTACCAGGTATAGTTGTCAAAAAGGAAGAAACGATTGAAGATAACATAGATGCAAGAAATGACACAGCCGTCCTGCCATCCTGCGTGGAAGCTGAAGGAAAGCCGCACGAAACCCAGGAAACCTTAGATAAATCTGTGGCTGAGGCCGGTTCCCAGTTAGATAGACTGCGAAATGAGCTGCTTCTAGTCACCCAAGAAAAAGAAAATTACAGAAGACAATGTCATATGTTTACTGACCAAATTAGAGTGTTACAGCATAGGATACTGGAGATGAACAACAAATATGTGAAGAAGGAAACTTGCCATCAGTCGACTGAAACTGATGCTGCCTTTTTACTTGAAAGTATTAATGGCAAATCTGAAAGTCCAGACCACATGGCATCTCAGTATCAGCAAGCTCTGGAAGAAATAGAAAGGCTGAAAAAGCAGTGTAGCGCTTTGCAACATGTAAAGGCTGAATGTAGTCAGTGTTCCAGCAGTGAGAGTAAAAGTGAAGTGGATGAAATGGTTGTGCAGCTCGATGACGTATTTAGACAGCTGGACAAGTGCAGTATTGAGCGGGACCAGTATAAAAGTGAGGTGAGTTCTACCATTGAAGGAAACGATGGTTGCGGGAACCCAGGGGCCTGCTGTCAGATTGGAATAAGTCACGTAGTATTGTAGTTCCAGTAATGGACTGTCCGTTACTCCACCGGTTCTCAGTTGGGGAGTGGTCCGCCTGGGAGCAGATGGCAATGTGGAGGGGTAGTTTTGGTTCTAAGCAGGTTTTGAGGAGATGGGCATCGCTGGAATTGAATGGGTGGTGACCAGGTGTGGTAAATGTCCTGTAGTGCACAGGGCATTGCTGTACAAGGAAGCATTGTCCTCAGAATCCCATGTCATCCCCATCGAGACATGCAGTTGCTAAATGCGGTGGGAACTTTACATCCATTATTAATGAGGCTCGTAAGAACCATACAGGGCGGATGATGATGCCCTCCTTTTACAGGTGCACCTGTATTATACTTAGGATTAGCTTCGTTTGCAGGTGACATAAACCCAAAACAACAGTGGTGGCTCTGCATCATCAGAGATGCAGGCTCCTTCTCCATTGTTGCTTTGCTTCGCAACCTACAGTTGTGGTCTGAGATGGCTATTCGGATCCAGCTGTCATATATCTGCTGCGGCAGCAAGAAAGAGATAGGGTGCGGTTCCTGAAAGTTGCTTATATTCCTTCTGTCAGAACTTAGTCACTTGGCTAATGGGTGCCTTGGAAACATAGTCTTTAGTCAGGGGCTCTTTTACTGAGGAAGAGGAGCTCTAGATATCAGGAGACAAGTAGTAGCCTCTGCACATGCCCCCAATTCAAATTTGTGTCGCTCCTTTAAAAAAACACAATCTGTTATCTATCATATTTACATGGTGTTTGAAAGGATGGTTTCTCTGCTAAAAAGAGTTTAGAAATGACAGTACTGCTGCTGCTTCCTGGAAATCTGCTGACATTACTCTTTCAGACATTCATCAGGAGCTAGATGACAAAATATATAAAAATCAATGTAAGCCTTGTGTTAGAATTTAGAACTGGTGAGTGTGCAAGAAATGAAAGCCACTGTGATGTCAACAGAATTTAGGCATTTTTATCTTGTGTTTTCAGTTTTTTAGGTGCCATTTGTTTTCAGTTAAGCGGTAATTGCCATTTTATATTCTTTCAAGGTAAAAAGATTAAGAGCTGAAACTGAACAAATGAAGTTTTGTTTATAGAAAGCTATTGGGGATTTTTTGTCTAATTTTTTTTTATGGTAATTTTCATCAAGCAGGATTTCTTAGCTTTAATTTGCACTTTGATATTTGTATTTTAAAATTTTACAGTTAAAAAATATTTTTTTTGTCAGGTTGAATTATTGGAAATGGAGAAATCACAAATTCGTTCACAGTGTGAAGAACTGAAAACTGAAATTGAACAATTAAAATCCACAAGTCAACAGATAGGAACAGATGTTTCAACTTCAAGTAACGTTGAGGAGTCTGTAAATTATGCTGATGGGGAAAGGTAATTTTAAATGAGGCATTTTACTGCGGCTGCAATTCAGTTAAGAAGATACTTACTAGCACACATCAAACAGCTGTTGTTCTATCCAAAGAGGTTATTGACTGCTGTGATCCCGCTTTTGGGGGAAAAGTGAAAATTGAGCTAGATTTTGAAGAATGGGGTGAATTTGGCCATGACTATAATAAGACAAGGGACTGTCATGAAACTTACTTTTTCACCCTGATTCCTTAACTTCTGTGCTTAGCATCATTTCTTTATGATTTGCTGTCATTTTACTACGTGCCCTCCCCAATCTTAACTTTTAGGAAATCAGAGTTACTAAAAATTGCCATAGTACAGGTGATGAGTGGGAAGTAGTTCGGTGAAAAGAAGAAAACAGCAAATGAATGATTACCCTATCTCAGTAAGTTATCAAATGGGCTTGGGGTTCTGTTTTGATTTTGAGAGAGTGGGAGACAGAAATTCAGGTGGGAGGAATGACAGCGTTCGTGCTATGTTGATGGCTTACCATTCAAACCTAGTTATTAAGGGCTAAAAGTGTGCACTTCTTCTGCTAATATGATAGGACTTAAGATCTAAAAGGCACTGTTGAGAAATAACCTACCATCCTCACTTGAAAGCAGTTGTGTTATTACTTTGTTTTTTAGCTTAACTTTTTAAAGGATTTCATTAAATCTGTTCATGGAAATAGAATAGAGCAGTACATACAAGCATGGAGGACAAGGGGTCATAAAAAACTCCCAACTCGGGTTTCTAAGAAAGGGAACCACTAGCATCCATGGTGCTTGTAGAAATGCAAATACTTGGGCCCCAGTGCAGTTTATTAAATTGGAAACTTTGAAACAATCTCCCAGATGATTCTCTTGCACACTGAACTTTGATCTTCTAGACCTATACTTTCCAAAACAGTATGGCCGCATGTTGGCTACTGACACTGGAAATCTAACTTGTCTGAATTGAGGTGTGCTTTAAGTGTAAAATACATGCTAAGAGTTTGAAAGCCCTAGTATGGAAAAAAATAATGTAAAATACCTCATTAAAATATATTTTGATTATATGATGAAATGATAATATTTTAGCTACATGCAGTTAACTAATATATATATATATATATAACTAAAATTGTTTCATTTTATTTTTTAATTGAACTATTTGAACATTGTAAATTGTGTATGGAGCTCACAACATTTATCTTGGACAGTGCTGTTTTATACACTAAAAATAGGAATCTGTGACATGTCTGGCAGAACGGAGGAATTAGCCAGGGACAAAGACTTAAAAGAAAGGATGGGTAAGATGGAAGGTCATAGGGTCACACTAGTCTTTTGTCTACTTTCATTTAGATAAAAGGTTTTGCTTATGACAAAGGGGATATTTTTTTTTAAAGATTTTTATTGGGGAATTGGGGGGGAAGGGAACAGTGCTGGGGAATTGGGGTAAGGGGAACAGACAAGTTGCTGTCATTTTGTTCTACAGTCTAGTTGTGGAGGACATTGCTTCATTGGCCCAAGTTGGCACCATCACTGCGCTCTTCCCGGGCGAGGCAGATCAGTCCCCGGCGGCTGCAGGCCGCTCACGCTGGCTGCTGGCTACACATGGTAGCCCATGGCAACCCACTGCCACAGGGGCTGCAGCCTACTCCGTCGCTGGTGACTCTCAGCTCAGCTCCAGGTTGAGCTGTTGTTCAGCATCTTAGCTGTAGAGGGCAGTGTCACTGGTCCTCATATGTGGGATCCGAACCGGGGCCCTCTGGCGTCTCAAGCCAGTTCTTAACCGTCGTGCCACTTGGCTGGCCCACAAAGGGGATATTCTTGGTAGGACATAGCATGGTTAATAATTTCTGCAAAACAAAGCAGAAAAATATTTGGACCATGCGCCTCTGATGGAAGATGATTGCAAAAGCTTGGACAAAAAACGGCTGGCGCGAGAATGATGTAAAATTTTATCAAAGGTCCAGTGGAATCTTAACACACAAGCCAACAAAACATGTTTATAATCCCATTTCTGTTCATTGTCAACCCGAGGATGAGCCAGCATCTTGCCCCTTCAGAGATTTCCACTCTAGAAAGATGAGTACCTTATAAACGGGACTTCTGATATTTGAGATGGTACAGACCAAAAGTAGCTATAACCTTTCTTGATTCGTGTGTTTCACTTAATCTTTGAAGCAAAGGCTGCTGTACAGTTGTAGATACTCAAAGTCGAGAATGTTGATATTCACATATGTGTATTATGAAAATGGAAGGAATGACAGTGATCATCTAATCCAAGATTTTCCAGTGTTTTCAGCAAAGCACTGCTCCCTATAAATGCATAGAAAAACGGATAGTCAGTGAACTTTAGCATATGAAAGGTTCAGAGAAGTGCTGCATTTTTTTCTTGTTTGACATTATTTAACCCAATGTTTTACAAGCTTATTTGACCACAGAACCATTCCTTTTTCCTCCTAACAGTGGGTATCTCATAGAACATTTTAGGGAATAATTCAGTTTATTTTTCTCAAAAGGAAGCTGAAATTCAGAGGCGCATTCTTATTTCTTAGACCAGTATTCGTTCATTCATATATATAGCTCAGTACAGTTTTCCAGATGGTAATCATATTTTAAATTGTAAATAGCACCTTATAATTTGTATATTTTACCAGTCCATGTTTTCTCCAGTCTCAAATCAAAATTTAGTTGGAGCCAAACAGAGCCATTTGTTTTATGAAACACTATTCTTAATTACGAACTATTAAATTATATGGATTAATGTTTCATTTCAGTATTAAGCCCTATATGAATATTAAACTGCATTACAGTGTTCATCTAATAGATGTAATATTTGTATTTGCAGCCTCAAACTACGATCTCTTCGAGTTAACGTAGGACAACTGCTGGCCATGATAGTACCTGACCTCGACCTTCAGCAAGTGAATTATGATGTTGATGTAGTTGATGAGATTTTAGGACAAGTTGTTGAACAAATGAGTGAAATCAGTAGTTCTTAAAGTATATTTTATGTGAGATAATAAAAATATTTGCTCAGTCCTTCTGGTTGTACAGCTTTCAAAATGTAAACAGTTTTATAGATACGATAGGTGACTGACTGAAGAAGCGTAACTTACTGTGTTCTATGCATTCAGGTGTGGCCACAGCTATGTGGGTGCGTGTTCTCACACCTTTAAATGCCCGGGCGTCATTGGTATCAGCGAATAACTAGCTAACTCATGTTTCTGTTTTGAAATGTAAATAGTTGTAATTAAGTCTGCACTTATATTTTTATTACCCTAGAGGACTTAAGTGTTTTTCACCAGAGGATTTCAGGTTGCCCCTAACCTTTGTGCAATCTTTTTTGGTTCCCCAAAGTGTATTTTTATCTGAATTGAGGGCTGTGCCATAACACAAATGGAAATGTCACCTTTGATTTTCTAAACAGAAGTTTAAGCAGGGTTTTTAAAAAATGGATTAACACTCCTGTTAAGCTGTAAATGAATTCAGCATTAATGTTTCTTTTCTATGAATTCCTATCTCCTGAAGTATTCATGAAAACAAGGTAAGCAAAAACTACCCATTTTGCTGGGATTTTTCTTGTGCCGAGATTGCCAATCATGGTTAAAGAACGTGATTTTTACAGAACAAAGAAATGACCGTTAGTATAAAAAAAGTATCAGAAAAATTTAATGTCTCACCATGTTTACTTTGAAGCCCATTTTGGCTGCTTAGTCAGCATGGAGTGGGCACAATAATGGTTTACTATTTCTTTTTATGAAATTTCCTGTACAGCCTTTTGTAGGATTACTACAGGTAAATGTGCATTGAGGAAGACAATCTTTCTCAAGCAGTACTGCGTACCTTTTAGTATGTTACAAACCTAAGTGTTTCATGTCCTGGAATTAAGCAGCAAATTGCCCTAGGATTATAGTATTACATGCCATAAAAAGTATACTTTATTGGACTCATGTTTTGTGCAATAAAGAGATGGCTTTCTATTTCTATTAAGTATAACTGTATATATAATTAAGAGTCATATTTTCCACAACAAAAAAAAAATGTGTATTATTTTTTTTAGAGTTTTATCATTGCTATTTATTTTTACTTTTGTTTCTGAACATTCAGTACGTGGTCTTTTTCATATGTATAATGCTTAATTACATGTCTGTCATATATAGTATTTTTACTGTACATTAAGTTCTAGAAAAAGCAAATAAATGAAGATGATTTATTTGCTTGATAAAGTAATTGAAAGTGTATTTTTGGTATGAAGCTGGCTTTCTGTCACAATTGTATCTGCCTAAAATTTAAAATATCTTGTAATAAAATAAAAATATATATGATGACTAACTCTTTAGATACTACTTTTAAAGAACTTTCTATTCAAATTATATTTTGAAAACTAAAATTAAGACTCCGTTAAGACTCTGAAGATGAGTTCATTTTACTAAAGTATAAGTTACATTTAGAGGATTAAGACTGTGTACATTAAACTCTTAAGACTGAGCTCACCTTGAGAGGGAGTGTGTGGTTATATTTTACACTTGAGGAGAAACCTTTTCTGTGAATAAATCGCTTAATCTAAAGAAACCTTGCTTGAATGATAACAGCCATGTAAAGCATCTCTAAGTTTGTGAATATTTTTATAGCAGTTCTTTCTGGAATTTGCTATTTTTCTCTTCCTTTTGGTCAGCTGTATTCTTGCAAAAAGCATCTATAAATATGGCTCTTAGCTGGCTTAATGGGAAGGGTATTCATAGGATTAATAAGAGAAGCTTGTTTGGTAAATTTGGAAGTACTTAAATATTTTTCACCCTTTAAGAAAATATTGCCAAGACAGATTCTTTGCAAATGTGGCGAACAAATTTTAACAGAACAACATGGGCTTTCATGGCATATGTAATATTTGGGTAGAGATACCTATCTTTTTTGTTAAGTTAAATTCGTAAAAGGCTAATATAGGACAGTGTTGCTAAATTAATTATTTTTAAAACAAAAACAACATGAGGAAGTAAACCAGAATAGTCCACAGTCGCTGCAGACAGGACCCACTTTAGTCAGCCAAGCCTACAAAATCAGTAACAGCTAAGTGTTGACCCCGCAGGAGTGGGGTCATATCGATGTGTCCTTCACTGGGGGGGCGGGGCGGGGGAAAGGGGCTTAAATTCCCCAGTGTACAGGCACTGCTGCTGGTGGTTCTGCCCATGGTCTCAGACGCTTGATTCTTGCTATCACACATTATTTGTCACTGAGGAATAATTAAAGTGACTTACACTGGTGGTTCACACCACTAGCTGCATATTAGAATCACCTGGGGCGTTTTGAGGAATCCCAGAGTGAGGATGCACCCCATACTAAATAAGTCAGTCTTTGGGATTGGACCAGAAAGGAGTACTTTTTTAAGGCCTCCCAGTACACCCTCAGAGCTGAGAACCTTTGATCTGTACCTTGCAGTGATCAGTATTTATAGATGCTGAACTCAAGTGGTTCCTGAAACACACTCAGGATCAGCATGGCCACTTTCTCCCCAGGGCGAGCGAGGAAGTGGGGCAGCATCGGTGCCCAGGATATGTCAGTGCAAAGACTTCCCACTGCCCCCCTGAGGGTACCCGCTATTGTTCTCTCTATGTCCTTCCAGAAAATACTAGCTGCATACATATATACATTCATGTATATGCACTCGTTCTGTGTTAAAGTTTATATCTTTATATTTGATTCTATATTTGTATGATGTTTACACAAAGGTGTTACCCCACATAATTGGTAACTTTTCCATATTGAACGGCTTTAGTCACATTCTAGGACATGACTATGCTCCTAATGCTCATTTATTTCTCAGTCTTTTAATATTACAAGAAGGCTACTATGAAAACTAATACATATACACCACGCACACGTTTTTACGTATATTGAATGTAAATCCCTGGCAGTGAATATTGATAGGTCAAAGAATATATGCTGTGTACATTTTAATAAAGTTGCCACCCAAAAGTGGTTGTAGGAATTTATACTTGTGAAAAATAAATCTATGAGCATATCTTTTCCTTTCTCTCTCCATCAAACTTACTTTTGCTAATCTGATATGTGAAAAAATGGCAGCTTGCGTTTCTTTGTCTCAGGTTGAACATGTTCTCATATGTTTCATTGGACATTTGAATTTTTTTCTGTGTACTGCATCATATTTTTCGCCATTCTTTAGTGTTCTTTGTCTTATTGCTTTAAAGAAGCAAGAAGTCTGCGTTGCTGGGGCCTAAATGCCACCCAGACAACACCTAGCTTGCAGAAAATCCACAGCAATTGTCTTTGCAGTGCCTCGTAAGCCGACTCATTGGATTCAATTCATGTCTTTCCATGTGTTCGTCTTTAAGACATTGGCCATGGTTCATAAAAGGGATGCCATTAACACCTGCTTTGCATAGAAGAAAATAAATATGTATTAGCTTTTTAGAGTTAAATTTTGTGATCACAAAGTTTATTTCTATAAACTGGCCTGTAGGGAGAAAGTCAAGACCAAAGAAGACAGTCTTGGTAAATTCAAGCCATTCAGACACATTTCAAACGTGCAAAACAAGTTTAACCTCAAGGTTCAGTGTTAATTTCTTGCAAAACAGATCTCAATGTCATGGTAACAGTATACAGACTCAGTTTAAATCTGACTCAGCCGTATGTTTGTAACAAAATGTAATGGTGCTTCATAGTCACAGAATATATGAATCAACCAAACATCTTGCTAATCTCCCACGCATTTCCTGTTAAATGCTTTTGGAAGTTGTGGCCTGCATTGTGAAACTTCATGCTGTGGTCTGAACCAAGGCTGAAAGTAATTAGGACCTAAATTATTTTTCTATTAGGCAATTGTCCCGTGTTTTTATGACTCCTTTTTTACTCCCTTAGGTGGAGTATCTCAAAATGTGTTCATGGAGGCATGGAGATAACGGTAGAGCGTCATTCCTACTTTGCTGTATGACCTTAGGTGGGTCAATTCTGGGAGAGAGGTGTTCATAGGCTGCAGAATGGAAACTTGCTGTGAGATCCAGAGTTCAGGAGTGGGAGTTGTCTAATCAGCTGCCAGCAAGAAAAGTGACACTTTTGACATAACCATTGTTACCTCTTTTCCTGAGTAGAGAAAGACAAGTCTAGGACAATATATCACAATACATATATACAATTATGTGAACTATAATAGTATTATTCACTGTAATCACTCTTAAACAAGGGTTTCTCATTTCCCACCAATTTACTGTTTTTAAGTTCACTTTTTTCAGTATCAGCTATTTTAAACTATTGGAATTTTCGAACATACAAAACTAGAGAAACTATCGTAATGAACTGTGCACCCATCACCCTGACACAACAATGTTCAACTCATGGTCACCCTTGTTTTATCAATACCCCCATCTACTTATTTCCTCCCGTGTGTGTGTGTGTGTGTGTGTGTGTGTGTGTGTGTGTGTGTGTGTGTGTGACAAATAAAACCTTTTTTGGGGACGGCCGAGTGGCGCCTTGGTTAAGAGTTGGCTTGGGACACCAGCTCTGAGCAGCAGGGCCCCGGTTCGGATCCCACATGAGGGTCAGTGACACTGCGCCCTCTACAGCTAAGATGGTGAACAACAGCTCGACCTGGAGCTGGGCTGCCATGAGGCGAGAGCTACGGCGTGGGCTGCAGCCCGGCTGCAATGGGCACCAATAGCGTTATGGGGACTCCACCCCATGACCTCATGCAAAGCTAATTACCTCCCTAAGCCTCCACTATCACACTTAGGATTGAACATAGGAATTTCGGAGGAACATTAAACATTATGGCCATAGCAATTTATTTCATTTTACACTCATCAGCAGTGTGCCAGAGGTCTTGTGCATTCTGTACTGATTTCTAGCTATATCCTATTTTTCCTGTCTTTGTTGTGATAAAGTTTGCTCAACATCTTTTCCCAACCCAGTATTGAACTTCCTGCTGTTAAATTTTTTGTGCACTTCTATTTCCCATTCTTCAATACTATTTTGTGAGTACTAACTCTGACTTACAGATTTTTATTCCAGAGTTGTCACACTTAGAAAAGGAAATTGTAGTGATGTTGGTTCAGAGAAGTCTTTGTTCATTGGTTTTTAAAGCCAAGTTAAGATTTTTCCCTTTATATTCATTTTCACTATAAAGTTCTTGGGAGAGCAGATAACACTGGTCCATTTAGAGTGATGCGATTCTGCTAAAATCAGTGCTTTGGCCCAAACTGAAGTTGAGTGGTTGTTGAGGCATCTAGCTGGAATCACTTGCCGTAGAACTTCTTTTGTACAGTCTGGGGCAAAGCTCTGAGGTCTCAACCAAATTCTTTTTTTCTTTCTTTTTTTTTTTTCTTCGCGAAAACTTGGCACAGCCCAGGGTCCCACTCTGGGCCATAAGCTCCTGCATGTAATGGCTCACCAGGCAGATCTCATCAGCTCTCAAAAATTTTCACCAAGAAAGCAAACTCCGTCATGTATATTTAGTACCTAAGCATGTTTCTTATCTGTTTAATCCACAGTCTAGAATCCTGGCACCTCAGGAGGTGGTCAGAGGATTCCGAATCGTTTGTGAGTTGACAGCATTGCTCAGAAATTGGGAGAAACCTGATGGTTATAAGAGACATTGAGTCCCAGGCTTTCGAAATCAGACTGATGACCAGACTCCTGGGAGCTTGTGAAGAGGCAGGCCCCTGGTCCCCCTGATGGGTATTCTGAATCAGTGGGCTCGGGTAGGGTCAGGAATCTACTTTTAAAACAGCTAGATTATCTACAGTACATATTAGTCATTCCCAGTCTAAGCTCTAAATCCTAGTCATGACTTAAGAGAGAACATCTTAAGAGCTACATGTGTGAATTTATTATCTCAGCTTCCTGTAGAAACAAGACTTAAGGAACTTCATTCTTGTCAACATGAGATCCATTTTGTAGACTATTTCTATACCTTGCATAAAACTGGCTAAAAGCATCAACCAGCACCTATGTAAGAATCCATGTCAATTCTTTTCCCTAAAAATGCCAGGAAGAGTTGGCTCTTCAGATAACCTGTATAAAGACACTGCTTCTCAAGGTACTTGTTTCCTGGCTTTCAAGGAAGCTCACGGGCAAAGTGTCCCATTTGGAAAATTACCCTATTTCAAAAGGCTTGCTGTGTCAATTTCTCCCCTTAAAATGTTAGATTCAGTTTTTAAAAAGTGTTTATAACCACATCTGCTAATTGAGGTATAATGTAAGCAATCCAGTTATTGAACAATCCCATAGCTTTGAACTCGCCAAAATGTTCTAGAAGCCAATATATAAAAAATAAATCTCACCTTTTGTTTGCAAAAAGAAAGAGGCATGGCTGATTTCAGTTCCATGATAATCCAGAAAGAAAAAAGGGGAAACGTGGGGAGAGGGCGAGTCGTGTGGGGAAGGCTTTCTTCTGCAGGTTGCTGGGGGCGGGCCGGGG